TCTCTCTCTCTCCCTCTCTCTCTCCCTGTTCTTTATTATGGCTATTATGCCTTTCTTTGTATTCCCAGTGCTAAGCATAGTACCTGGAAAGTAGTGCTGGCTTGTTGACTGACTGGCTGCTTGGCAGACAGGCGCGGGAGTAAATCAAGCTTTCCCAAAACCAGATGAAGTCCTTGGAGTGCTTCAGCAGCTCCCGAAAATCCCGAGCTTCAGCGCAGAACCACTCGAGGCTGCCCCGCGGGGCCAGGGAAAGATTCTCCAAGAGGAGCCCAGCCACTTGAAAAGTTTGTAACTGTGCCCACGTCCTTAATGCCTTCCTCTCCCCCCGCCCCCCTAACTGGTCTGATAGCACCCCGTTGGTGAAAGTCAAGCTGTGATTCCACTTCTCGCTTCTCCTCTCCCCTCTTCTCTTCTCTTCTCCCCTCTACCGCTCGTCAAACTTTCAGGGCGACAGCAACTCGCTTCTCGGGGTGATTACCGAGCCTCACCCACCCTACTGGGCAAAGGGCATCCGGATATTTCACCTCAGAAATGCAGTAACTGAAGGCAGGAGCTGTCCAGTGCTCCGCCCCAACCAGCCCAGCCCCGTTCCCAAAGCAGCCCTGGCCAGGACCCTGCCCCATTCACCCACTCCACTTCAGCTCGCCCACCCGGGAGAGGCTGGATTCCGTGCTATCTCTCTAGATAGCTCCACGCTCCCAGAAGCTCCTCGGAAGGGTGGAGTATTCTTGGTGTTGAAAACGGAATAAGTGTTTTCAAAAAGGGGAAGAAGAGAAGTAGCGAGAAAAGGAAGAGAAGGTGGGGCAGGTCTAGAAGCAGAATGCGGAGAGAAAGAGAGAGCGCGCAAAGACGGCTCTGTGGAAGTCAGAAGAGCAAGCTGGTGGTGGAGTCCCGCCCTTGGGTTGCTTTGAGACAAGTCCTGCGGGGGGAGAGTGTCTTCTAATGGAGCAGTTTTCAGGGGAGAGCTTTTGGTTTGCTTTTCCTCTCTCCTCACCCCTAGGCACTTGGCTTGGACAATTGATTCTGGCAGACCTAAGTAGCTTAACACCCAGGCAGCGGTTCTTTCCATCCCCACTCCCAGCCAAGTTGTTCCAAAAGTAGAGGGGTGAAGGTAAGTAGACAGGAAGGGAGCAAGGGACTATGGGAGATCGGCAATGGTAGGAAAAACAATCAATATTTAGTAATTAACCTTTCTTACTTTGCGGGGTGGAGAGTGAGGGCAGCTGCAACATTTAAATGACAGGATTCTGATCGCTGGACAGCCCCAGGAGAACAACATGATACCCTCAGATAAGATCAATGGATTATGGTTTACCATTGGCGCCAGAAGTGGAGAGGAGTGGTTTGGATTCTTTTCTGAAGAACTTGGTCCCATCCTGAAAGTTTTGGGGAGGATGAAGGGGTAAAAGAATGCAGTTCTGAGAGTTTCCAACTTATATGCAAGTTATTTAAAAATATAGGTCTGTAATCTTCAGAGCACATTTATATTTATGGAGAAAAGTAATTTGTGATATTACTCTAATGTGTAAATAAGATACTTCCAAATGCAGAAAGAGAAAAACAGAACACCAACTCACTGTATTTTAGCATTAATCATTATTAACTTTTGTGCCAGCAGGAATTGTTCAGTTTATTAGTGCAAATACACTATGACCTAAGGGGACTGAGAGGCCCTCAGGCACCTTCCCTGCCCAAAGAGCCCCAGCCCCTCTGGGGTGAGGGGTCTTTCCATTCCATTTTAGATTCCAGCTTCTTCCCTAGTCACTATCCAATAAAAAGGAAGAGGTACAGTTTAAATACATCCAAAGGCTTGGTGCCTTCCCACTAAATGATAGTTATCAAACAGCCCACTAAAAATAATGAATCGTGAATAAACCTATTTATCCAAGCAGATAGCAAAGAGAAATCAGAAAAGTTCCACAGTTCAGAATACACCAGATGGTACACAGAGTGACTAAGGTTTTCCATTGGGAGTATCTCATGTCAGCAGAGAGAATTCCCAATCTCACTCAAAGGGAAATGCTCCCAAGTCTCTAGGGAGATAAACTGGTTACCAAAATATCTTTTGGGGGCAAGGGGCACTTCACAAAGCAAGAAGGAAGAACAAAGTTTCAATTTCCCAAACTCTTGTGCCCATGCCACCCCTTATGGAGGAAAGCTGCCTGAAGTCATCATTATCTTTACCAATGAGATGAGTCTTATGAAGTAATCTAGAGTTGAATCCTTCAGTTACATGTATTTGAGGGCAGTTGTAAACTCTGGAAACTGGGTAGGATAACGAGCACTTGTAAGTAAGCCTAGATATATGGGACAATAGATTCATACTTTAAAGTCTTGACTTCTATATTTCCCTATAACCCTAACTCTTTATGAAATGTGGTGGAAGGACACCACAACTGTTATTCTGGTTCATGGGCTTGTACTTCAGGAATCCTATCTATCTGAGACTTGCAGAAAGCTTTGCTCAGTCTAGGTATGACATATAACAGGAGAGCACATCCTAGTTTCAAATGTATGCCCTTTGAAGTTTGTAAATTTGTGACCGAGGAATCTTTGAGTGGCTAGGTAGTGCCTCTCTTAACATACAGAAAGACAGCTGTCACACAGGTTAAATCCAGTCAAAGAGAATGCTAGAGACAACCAATTGAAAAGGAATGTCACAAAATTACAAAGAATAAACTTGACCCCAAAATAAGCTGTGAAAAGACAGCTCCCTCTTTATCAGAGGTAGGGGAGGAGATTCATAAGAATGAAAACTTTATATAATGTTAATTTTTTATGTACTGATCAATTTTAAAAAATTACTTTTTTTTTCTTTAAAAAATTTGTTATTAGGGATGGCTGTCTGGGAGGAAAAGGAATATAGAGGCAAAGGTACGCAACATAACAACAAAGGATATCAATAAAATATATTTAAAAAATAGAATCAGATGGGCACCATTGGTGTTCTGCTTAAGCAGTTCTTTCTCTCTGGATCATGAACTACCCTTAACTTTCCAGCCAGCTGTAATGTCCCTCTCTATCCACTAGATGGTGCATAAAGTTTAAATGGTCCCTTTTCATTGTATCTGGCCACTACTGCTTTTTGCTTTGGCAGCAGAAAGACACTTCTTCCCCTCCCTCACCCCTCAACACATGTTGCTGCTCCCCAAGCCAACATCTAGGGAAAATTATTTATCTTAATATTTTAAAGTATTGTTTTAATTATCTTAGCCTCCATTACTTGGGATAATTCTCTGTCAGTTTTTCTCTGTTACTCCTTGCCCATGTGTCTATATTTGGTATATAGCACTCATCTGGGCCAGAACACTTGCAAATATCAGGATTGGTTTGTTTAAAATGATGGTGAAATTCAGAAGTTACTAAATGAAAAACAAAAACGTCTGAGGGTTTACCAGCAGAACAGTTGATCTATCTCTTAAAGAGGTAGCATTTAGCTCCATCGAAAGCAAAGTGCAATCAATGTTTAGAGAGAGATGCAGGATTCTTGGCTCAGTAAGAAGGCAGATGAAATTCAATTTCATACTGATAGTAACAATCCAAAACCCTATTATGATGTCCTGAAGTCTATTTATTGGTCAAAGACCTATAGATACATCTCAACTACTCAGTGCTGATAGACTGAAGAGTGATAAGGACATGATTTTGGAGAGATGGGCTAAACACTTCCATAATGTTCTCAATAAACCATCATCAACCAAAGTTACAACTATTGACCTTTTACCTCAGTAAGAAGTCAATCCCTCTCTAGCCAAACTATCAAGTGTAGAGGAGGTTTTGCCTGGCAAGATACCTGTTGCTGATTCTATTCCAGCTGAGATTTACAAGGCAGGGGCCCACTGCTAATATGAAAGCTGGCTGAAATCTTTCCAATTATATGGCAATAGGAGGTTAACCCCAGGAGTTCAAGGATGCCTCCATTGTCCATCTCTATATATAAAAAGGAAATAGGTAGTCTTGTGGCAATCACAGGGAGGCTCTCTATTAGTTATTTCTAGCAAGATTCTTGCCAGAGTCCTCTGTAATAGGTCGATCCTTCATCTGGAAGATGGTCATCCACCCAAGAGCCAGTGTGGCTTCAGAGAGGCCTGAGAAACATTCAGTATGATGTTGGCTGCCAACAACTGCAGGGGAAATGGAAGGAACAGAACAGAGGTCTGTCCATAATGTTTATCAATCTGACCAAGGCCTTTGATGCTATCAGTCACGAGAAATTATGGAAGATCACGACCAAATCTGGTTGCCCAGCTCATCGGTCTTCTCTATCAGTTCCATGACAGCATGCTTGCATAAGTTCTGGATAATGGATGATGCTTTCATGTCACCAATGAAGTAAAGCTGAGCTCTGTGCTTTCTCCCACGCCAAATTTTTAGCATGATGTTTTCAGCTGCGTTGTCTGACACCTTCAACGAGTGGGATCAAGGTCAGCTATCTACTATGACTGGTAAATTATTTAACTTGAAAAAGCCAAGACTAAAGTAGAGGAAGAGTTGGTGTGGGACTTTTTGTTCAAAGATGATTTGTTCAGAGAGACCTCCCTGTGCGCTCAATGCGCCCTCTGAGGCTGAGATGCAACAAAAGTAAGATTGATTCTGTGTTGCTTGTGCTAATTTTGGCTGATCGTTCTCACCAAGAAAACAGAGATACTCTACCAGCCAGCACCACACAATGCATACATGGAACCATCAGTTACAGCAAATGGAGAAGTTTGGAAGGCTGTGGATAAATTCTCTACCTTGAATATCCTTTCCAGGGATGTGCACATAGATGATAAGATTGGTGCACTCATTACCAGAGTCAGCTCAGTGTGTGTGAGGCTCGGCAGGAAAGTTTGGGAGAGAAGTATTCAGCTGCCTATTAATCCAATGGTCTACAGAGCCATTGTGCTGACCTCATTGTTGTATACGTGTGAAATCCAGACAGTATATCATCACCATGACAAGAAATTGAATTACTTTCATTTAAATTGTCTTAAGAAAATTCTGAAGATCACCTTGCAAGATAAGGTACTGGACACTGAAGTCTTTGCTCGAGCTGAGTGGCCAAGCATTCAAACTCTTTTGCAGAGAGTGCAACTCTAATGGGTTCCACATTGTCTGAATGCCAAACATGCCTAAAAGATCATTTTAAGGAGAACTCACAAAAAGCAAGAGATCACTGGGAGGTCAGAAGTATTCCAAGGACACTGTCAAGGTCTCTCTGAAAAATTTTGAATCAATTTTGAGACATGGGAGATACTGGCACAGGAAAGTCCAGCATGGCATACCCACGTCAAAGAAAGTGCTGTGTTCCACGAGCAAGGCAGAACTGCACTTGCTCAAAAGAAATGTGAGAAAGCAAATTTAGAGATATCTCTATTCCAAATGTTCATACAGACAATTTGTGCCTGACTTGTAAAGACAAAGGTTTTTATTTTTTTATATCTATTGAAATAATCATATTACTTCTGTTGGTTTTGTTACTGATATGTTCAATTATGTTGATAGTTTTGCCTAATATCACCCAGATAGTAATTTACAGAAGGAAGATTTGAACCGATGTCCTTTACCTCCAAAGTCAGTGATCCTTCCTATACCACCCTATTTCATCTATTTTAAACATTTGGTTTTAGTTTCTTTGTTTTTTTTTTAATGGATCAATGTTATATCTCTATAACTGGGGGTAATCAATTGATCAGTAAGCACTTTTTAAGTACCTACTATGCCCCAAGCACTGGGAATTCAAGTACAAAGAAACAAGTAATTTCTATTCACAAGGAGCTCAGGTGTTAATGGAAGAATTCAGTATCGGGATTAGAATGTCCTAGTTCATTAAATCTGGGATAATAGCCCAGTTCCAGTAAAGTTTATTGGTTGATTTCTCTAGGATATATTGAGGTTCTTTTTTGTGGTGGTGGGATTTGTCATCTCTCAGTCCATTGAATATAATTAGCATATTTGTTGTTATTATTATGAATAGTAGTAGTATTGCTATTATTAGTATTCCTCTGAAACTCCATAACATTTTGTTTATTATTCTCTCTTATGACATTAATCTCATTCTGCCTCATGTTACCATGATGTGTAGATATAATTTATTTTGTAAATGGGTCCCATTCCACACAATTATCACAGTATTATATATTCTTTCTTTTTTCTAATTATCTGTATTGCAGTTTAACATGCTATTAAATACTTCAATATTTATTGTTTCTATTGTTTTATGTTGAGTAACTTATTTCACCAAATAGACCCCAGGC